ACTACCACACACCACACTACCTGTATTTACGTATGTAGGTTAGATTAGTATTTTATAAGCATTACAATCACCTTCTGTGGTCGACTGTTCAATAAATCATTGAACTATATGCAAGCGATGAGTCACAATAACGGGGCTGAAGTATGTTGACCAGACCACACACTAGAAAGTGAAGGGACGACGACGTTTCGGTCCGTCCTGGACCATTCTCAAGTCGATTGTGAGAATGGTCCAGGACGGACCGAAACGTCGTCGTCCCTTCACTTTCTAGTGTGTGGTCTGGTCACCACTGAACTATATGTTAAACAGATCTCTAACTCTGTCAATAGAGGACAGGGGAAAATGTATATATGCTGGTTAGCATTGTAAATGTCTGGCCACGTCTGTGGTCGAAAATAATAATAATAATAATAAAATGAGACTACCGCAGGAGCTTGGAAAGTTCAACTACTTGATCAAGTCATCTGTTTATGGAGGCGTGTTGACACCGTGACGTCACTTCCGACCGTTACAAGGTATCAAAATAACGGCCACATTTCAAATTTTCAATAATTTGAATTGCCAGCTGATTTACCATAAATTTGGTTTCTTAACAAAAAAAATATGATTTATAAACAATTCAAACGTAATTTCTATTTTGAATTTCAATAAATCTAAAATCTTGCCGCAAAGGTTTCCAATTTATATATATAAAAAAAACTGACAATAACAGTTGAAAACTATGTTGGAATTTGGTTTTTCTTTACGAAATATTTTTCTTGAATTGAAAAAGGGAAAAATATTCCACAATTGTCTATAATAACCTTTGGCTCACCTGTAATTATTTGGCTCTTTGACATTAAACAAAACTCATCAGAAGAAATGCAGGTAAAGTCCAGGGAAAATTGTTACTAATTTGTGTAACTCGTTTCATACGGTGGTGTTAGATGACTTCTTTGATGTTAGTTCTGACTTCTTGGGCGGTGGAGGAAGGGGGAGGGGAAAGCGCCAAGCCATTACGACTATATAGCACTGGGAAGGGGTCAGGATTTGGGATGGGACGGGGGGAAGGAATGGTGCCCAACCACTTAGACGGTCGGGGATTGAACGCCGACCTGCATGAAGGGAGACCGTCGCTCTACCGTCCAGCCCAAGTGCCACGATTGGGGAGTTTCTTAAAGGCGTGTATCTAGTTGTGCTTTCGGGGGTTGAACTCTGGCTCTTTCGGCCCGCCTCTCAACTGTTAATCAACTGCGTCCTCCTTCCCCCCCCCCCACACACACACACACACACCCAGGAAGCAGCCCGTAGCAGCTGTCTAACTCCCAGGTACTTATTTACTGCTAGGTGAACAGGTGCATCAAGGTGAAAGCTCTGCATACGCAGTTTTAAATGTAGATATGATAGAGCTCAATAGCTTCAGGAATCTGTACACCAGTTGATTGACAGTTGATAAACGGGCCAAAAGAGCCAACGCTCAACCCCCGCAAGCACAAATAGGTGAGTACAAATAGGTGAGTACACACACAGATATTAGATATTAGAAAGAACTTTTTTAGTGTCAGAGTGGTTGACAAATGGAATGCATTAGGAAGTGATGTGGTGGAGGCTGACTCCATACACAGTTTCAAGTGTAGATATGATAGAGCCCAATAGGCTCAGGAACCTGTACACCAGTTGATTGACGGTTGAGAGGCGGGACCAAAGAGCCAGAGCTCAACCCCCACAAACACAATTAGGTGAATACAACTAGGTGAATACAACTAGGTGAGTACACACACACACACACACACACACACACACACACACACACACACACGTGCATATATAATTTATAGATTATTGGCCCGAGTACAAAAAAACATCCATTCTTTGACAGCATGAGTAAGTATGCTCACAGGTGATGTTTGACCAGTTCACGAGACAAGGGGTGACCTCTCCCTGGAAGGTCAACACCCGAAAGGTCACGCGGTCACTCCTGTGTGTCGATTAAACTCAACGTCGACAATTCACTGCCTGTCACTCAAGGCCCCGAGTATCTATGTTACATCCTTGGAGAGTTTAGTCAGTTCTTCAAGAACCTGATTACAAGTGGACCTCTAATACACTTGTTGCTGCCTTTGTGTTGCTCTCTCTACCTCCTCTGTCTTCCCTCTTCCTCTTTCTCTTCCTCCTCCTTATTCTTCGTATTCTTTAAGGCATGTTAGGTTTTATTGTTCTGCTTTCCGTTAGATATGCGTCATTGTTCTCCATGTTTTTTCATGTCTTCATTATCAGTATAAAGAGAGAGAGAGAGAGAGAGAGAGAGAGAGAGAGAGAGAGAGAGAGAGAGAGAGAGAGAGAGAGAGAGAGAGAGAGAATGAGAGAGAGATAATACATATACTCATATATATAACCACATTCTCATGTATTCATATATTATGTATACAACACACATATACACACATACATATCGCTACTCATACACAATAAATACCTGATACATATATATACACATATATATCAGGTATATAAACACATACAATTCACTTATAAAACATACATTTATCACATATAAATCCACGCATAAGTATCGAAGAATTTCCCCTGATACAAATTACAGTAACACCTGCAGACACTAACCTACACAAGAATAACAGGTGTGATTTGTGTTTACAGGTGTTGAGAGACCACGTGGTAACGGCCGTTGTCTGCTGCCTCCTCCCACTCACAACAGGTAAACAGGTAACAGGTAAACAGGTAAACAGATATCACACGAGGAATTAACATTTACCGGGAATACAACTGGTCAACGGGTATACAATATGTCTTGGTATACTACAATATGTATCTTGGTATACTACAATATGTATCCTGGTATACTATATGTATCTTGGTATACTATATGTATCTTGGTATACTACATGTATCTTAGTATACTATATGTACCTTGGTGTACTACATGTATCTTGGTATACTAAAACATGTATCTTGGTATACTACAACATGTATCTTGGTTTACTACACCATGTATCTTGGTATACTATATGTATCTTGGTATACTACAACATGTATCTTGGTATAATACAACATGTATCTTGGTATACTACACCATGTATCTTGGTATAATACAATATGTATCTTGGTATACTACAACATGTATCTTGGTATACTACAACATGTATCTTGGTATACTACAATATGTATCTTGGTATACTACACCATGTATCTTGGTATACTACAACATGTATCTTGGTATACTACAATATGTATCTTGGTATACTACAACATGTATCTTAGTATACTACAACATGTATCTTGGTATACTACACCATGTATCTTGGTATACTACAACATGTATCTTGGTATACAACAACATGTATCTTGGTATACAACAACATGTATCTTGGTATACAACAACATGTATCTTGGTATACTAGTGGGTAATCCTAATTATATTACCTGTGACTGAATTGATAATGGTTTGTATATCTGTATGTTCTCTCCACACCTGAAGAAACACACCTGTGATTCCTGTGTTATACTTGTACACCTGCTGAGCAGCATCCTCAGATGAATTATCTGCAGATTCTCTACAACACTGTCACACTATAGTGTTGTAACACCGTTACTCTATCACCGTAACACCAAGAGGGAATTTCCCCTGCAAGTAAGGTTTACAGGCAGGTGAACTTAAGTCCAATTAACGACTATTGTGTGACAGTCCCTGGTGCTGATTTCCCAAAACTTGCTTCTCTTACTTGCTCTCTCTTCCTCACACACTCTCTCTCTCTCCCTCTCTCACTCTTTCTTACTCTCCCTCCCTTCAATATTATCTTCGACTCTCTCTCTCTTTTTCTTTCTGGTTGCTTGTATTTCTAGCTCTCTCTCTCTCTCTCTCTCTCTCTCTCTCTCTCTCTCTCTCTCTCTCTCTCTCTCTCTCTCTCTTCCTCCCTTCTCTCTCCCTCACCATCACACGCGTGTCTGGGTAGATTACACACTAACACAAGACCCCTTCTCTAATTTTCTTGTCCTCTCTCTCTTCCTTTTCTCACAACCCATCATCATGTTCTTTCATTCACTGTTTACACTCTCTCTCCTCCTCCTCTTCTCTCTCTATCACCATCTTCTGCACCAAACTGTTGGTTGGATAAGTGGTTTTTGTTAATTTTTTGGTTGTGTTATCAAGTTGGTGTTGGCTGGTCTAATGTGGTGGGGTGGATTGGGATAATTGGTATTGTGGGATTGGTGGAAGATGATTGTGAAAGATAGTGAGAGATAATGGAAGATTGTACAGGTGTGGGTGTATGTGTGTGTGTACTCACCTATATGTACTCACCTATATGTGCTTGCAGGATCGAGCATTGACTCTTGGATCCCGCCTTTCTAGCTATCGGTTGTTTACAGCAATGACTCCTGTCCCATTTCCCTATCATACCTAGTTTTAAAAGTATGAATAGTATTTGCTTCCACAACCTGTTCCCCAAGTGCATTCCATTTTTCTACTACTCTCACGCTAAAAGAAAACTTCCTAACATCTCTGTGACTCATCTGAGTTTCCAGTTTCCACCCATGTCCCCTCGTTCTGTTATTATTACGTGTGAACATTTGATCTATTTCCACTTTGTCAATTCCCCTGAGTATTTTATATGTCCCTATCATATCTCCTCTCTCCCTTCTTTTCTCTAGTGTCGTAAGGTTCAGTTCCTTCAGCCGCTCTTCATATCCCATCCCTCGTAGCTCTGGGACAAGCCTCGTCGCAAACCTCTGAACCTTCTCCAGTTTCTTTATGTGTTTCTTCAGGTGGGGGCTCCATGATGGCGCGGCATACTCTAAGACGGGTCTCACGTAGGCAGTGTAAAGCGCCCTAAAAGCTTCCTCATTTAGGTTTCTGAATGAAGTTCTAATTTTCGCCAGTGTAGAGTACGCTGCTGTCGTTATCCTATTTATATGTGCCTCAGGAGTTAGATTAGGTGTCACATCCACTCCCAGGTCTCTTTCTCGAATCGTTACAGGTAGGCTGTTCCCCTCATTGTGTACTGTCCCTTTGGTCTCCTGTCACCTGATCCCATTTCCATAACTTTACATTTACTGGTGTTAAACTCCAGTAGCCATTTCTCTGACCATCTCTGCAGCCTGTTTAAGTCCTCTTGGAGGATCCTACAATCCTCGTCTGTCACAACTCTTCTCATTAATTTGCGTCATCTGCAAACATCGACATGTATGATTCCACTCCTGTAAACATATCATTTACGTAAATTAGAAAGAGGATTGGTCCCAGCACCGATCCTTGAGGTACTCCACTTGTTACTGTTCGCCAGTCCGACTTTTCGCCCCTTACCATTACCCTCTGGCTCCTTCCTGTTAGGTAGTTCTTCACCCATACTAGGGCCTTTCCGCTTACTCCTGCCTGCCTCTCAAGTTTGTATAGCAGTCTCATGTGCGGTACCGTATCAAAGGCCTTTTGGCAGTCAAGAAATATGCAGTCTGCCCAGCCTTCTCTGTCCTGCCTTATCCTTGTTACTTTATCATAGAATTCTAAAAGGTTTGTTAGGCATGATTTCCCTGTCCAGAACCCATGTTGGTGCTTGTTTACAAACCCAATGCTCTCCAGGTGCTCAACAAGTCTTAGCCTAATTATTCTTTCAAGTATTTTGCAGGGGATGCTTGTCAGTGATACGGGTCTGTAGTTAAGTGCCTCCTCCCTATCCCCCTTTTTGAAAATCGGTACGACATTTGCCTCCTTCCAGCAACTGGGCAATTCTCCCGACATAAGTGACTCATTGAAGATCATTGCCAGAGGCACGCTGAGAGCCTGCGCTGCTCTTTAAGTATCCACGGTGATACTTTGTCTGGTCCAACAGCTTTATTTGCATCCAGTGTTGTCAACTGTTTCATTACATCCTCTGCTGTCACCTCTATATCTGATAGTCTTTCATCTTGGGTAATCTCTTCTAACAATGGGAGCTGCTCAGGCTCGGTAGTGAACACTCCATGGAATTTTGCATTCAGTACCTCGCAGATTTCCTTGTCGCTTTCTGTATATGCCCCTTCTGTTTTCCTCAGTCTTGTCACTTGGTCATTTACCGACATCTTCCTTCTTATATGGCTATGTAGTAATTTTGGTTGCTTTTTCGCTTTGACTGCAATATCGTTCTCATAATTTCTTTCCGACACTCGTCTTATGTTAATGTAATCATTCCTAGCTCTGTTACATCTAATCCTGTTGTCCTCTGTCCTTTGCCTTCTGTACTTCCTCCACTCCCTCCTGCTTCTCACCTTTGCTTCCTGACACTGTCTATTAACCCATGGGTTATTATATTCCCTCCTGCTTTTTTCCTTTATTGTTGGAATAAATCTATCTTCAGCCTCCTTGCATTTCAATATGACTTGGTTCATCATACCTTGCACTGTTTTTCCTCTAAGTTCTTCCTCCCACTGCACTTCTCCCAGGTAGTCCCTTATCCTTCTGTAGTCCCCTTTTCTGTAATCAAGTCTCCTTTCCCGGACCTCTTGTCCTTTGGTCACAATTTTAAGCTCCATCATGTAGTCAAAGACTAGGACACAATGGTCACTAGCTCCTAGTGGTATTTCATGTTCCAACTGCTCGATGTCTTCTACATTCTGAGTGATAATGAGATCTAATAGGCTGGGCGTATCCCCTCCTCTTTCCCTAGTATCTTCTTTCACATGCTGTGTTAGGAAATTCCTGTCAATAACGTCTACCAGCTTCGAATTGTGTGTGTGTGTGTGTGTGTGTGTGTGTGTGGGCGTGATTGTGATATGTGGTCGTTGGAGGTGGTTTATGGTGAAGGATTGTGCAAGACGACGGAGGAGGAGGATGGTGAGGGATGGTGAGGGGTATTTCGACCACCATTACAGCCAAACCATCACCTTTAATCCTTCTATAATAACCACTATCATGATCCCTACTACTAACTCACCCACACCCCCTTCCTACCACCATCACAACCACCACCAGCTCCCACTACCAACCTATCCACCACTACCAATACCACCACAACCAACATCTTAACACAATCTTAAGACAATCAAGATGATGAACTCCACGAATGGCAATTTATGGAAATCCACAAATCTGGTCTCTCGTATGAGGAAGCCTGGTCGGAGACCGGGGCGCGGGGCTGTTGATCCCCGGAAAGTACACAAGGTAGACACAACGTATATATATATACCCCGTATGGGTACTTTGTATGAATATATGCCACACACACACACATACACATATGGGTATAGGTGGCCAACAAGTGGAATTCCATGAATTGAATTTTTTTTTAATAAATTTAACCAAAGCCGTCAAAAATTGAGGAAAGATATACACGTTCGTAAGTACTTGCGTAACTGCTTCGTGAATCTGGCCCCACTGCTTCGTGAATCTGGCCCCACAACTTTAAGAACAGATTCGACAAAGAATTCCAACATGAGAATATGGTGATTATATGTCAATAGACACAACAAAGGGGCAGAAGACGAGGCATAGAGAGCTAGACCCCACTTCCCCCCCAGTAGTCAATGTTTGGTAAGTTGTGATAGGCAAGTACCACCACTACTCCTACCACCACAACTGATCCACCACCATCAACCACAACTCATCCCCCTCCCTCCCCTCCCCCCCTTCCCCCAATGGTGTCATCAGATGTGAAAACTTCCAGGGACTTGGTCTGGCGGTCATCAGTGACCCGCCAGACTTTTTGTGACTTGAAAGTTTAATGTCTCGATGTCTGTCAGTCTGTCAGTCAGTCTGTCAGTCTGTTAGTCTGTCAGCCTATCTGTCAGTCTGTCTGTCAGTCTGTTAATCTGTCAGTCAGTCTGTCAGTCAGTCTCTCAGTCTGTTAGTCTGTCAGCCTATCTGTCAGTCTGTCAGTCTGTCTGTCAGTCTGTTAATCTGTCAGTCAGTCTGTCAGTCTGTCTGTTTTTGGACCACTATCTTAATTGTTATTTATACCCGTCAGCAACTGGGTAACTGTCCAGTTGTGTGTATATATATATATATATATATATATGTATATATATGTCGTACCTAATAGCCAGAACGCACTTCTCAGCCTACTATGCAAGGCCAAATTTGCCTAATAAGCCAAGTTTTCATGAATTAATTGTTTTTCGACTACCTAACCTACCTAACCTAACCTAACCTAACTTTTTCGGCTACCTAACCTAACCTAACCTATAGAGATAGGTTAGGTTAGGTTAGGTAGGGTTGGTTAGGTTTGGTCATATATCTACGTTAATTTTAACTCCAATAAAAAAGAAATGACCTCATACATAATGAAATGGGTAGCATTATCATTTCTTAAGAAAAAAATTAGAGAAAATATATTAATTCAGGAAAACTTGGCTTATTAGGCAAATTTGGCCTTGCATAGTAGGCCAAAAAGTACGTTCTGGCTACTAGGTACGACATATATATATATATATATATATATATATATATATATATATATATATATATATATATATATATATATATATGTCGTACCTAATAGCCAGAACGCACTTCTCAGCCTACTATTCAAGGCCCGATTTGCCTAATAAGCCAAGTTTTCATGAATTAATGTTTTTTCGTCTACCTAACCTACCTAACCTAACCTAACCTAGCCTTTTTTGGCTACCTAACCTAACCTTACCTATAAATATAGGTTAGGTTAGGTTAGGTAGGGTTGGTTAGGTTCGGTCATATATCTGCGTTAATTTTAACTCCAATAAAAAAAATTGACCTCATACATAATGAAATGGATAGCTTTATCATTTCATAAGAAAAAAATAGAGAAAATATATTAATTCAGGAAAACTTGGCTTATTAGGCAAATCTGGCCATGTATAGTAGGCTGAGAAGTGAGTTCTGGCTACTAGGTACGACATATATATATATATATATATATATATATATATATATATATATATATATATATATATATATATATATATATATAAAATAGAATATATCTCTGTCCAATAAAGATGAAAAGATGATACATATGATCGACACTCATTCTGTCTCTCTCTCTCTTTCTTTCTCTCTCTCTGTCTGTCTCTGTCTCTCTCTCCCTCCGTCTGCCGTCTACACGACATCTACTTGACTGCTCCCCGCCTCTCTCCCTGACAGTGGACGGAGGCACTGAAGCAGAGATCATCAAGGCGCTGGAGGAAACACAGCAGGAGGTGGCGTGGAAGTACATCCCCCTGAGTGGTCCGGCCATAGACCACACAAACTCCAGTAACATCACCGCTCAGATGGGCAAGACCGCTATTCTCAACTGCCGGATCAAGTACCTGGGAGGAAAGACGGTACGTGGGACGGGGGAAGACGGTACGTGGGAAGGGGGAAGACGGTACGTGTGTGGGAGAGGTGGGAGGGAAGATGTTTTGCTGGTTAACTATGTCTGTGTACTCACGTATTTGGTGAGTGATATTTACCACGTGAGGTATAATGCAACTAGATGAATACAGGTGTCGTGAATGACTATTAAACCCATGATATGCCACACCTGACTAGTTACACACCTCCCCCCCAACAGGTGTCGTGGATGAGGAGCAGAGACCTACACCTGCTGACGGTGGGTCGCTTCACCTACACCAGCGACGACAGGTTCAAGTCTGTGCACCAGCAGGGCTCCGAGGACTGGCTGCTTAAGATCCACTATGTCCAGCACCGAGACGCTGGCTCCTACGAGTGCCAGATCTCCACTACCCCGCCCATGTCTAAGATCGTGTGGCTCACTGTGGTCGGTGAGTGCTGTCCTGGCCTGCTGCTGGTGTGGGGATCTCCTTGTACGGTGATCTTCCCTCTCTGTTCCTCTCTTCAACTTCCATACCACTGTCTATCTGTCTCTCCTTCTCTCTGTTACGTCTGTTCCTAGCTAGCCAAGATCTGCATCTAGCTAGCCAAGATCTGCATCTAGCTAGCCAAGATCTGCATCTAGCTAGCCAAGATCTACATCTAGCTAGCCAAGATCTGCCCCCCTAGCCAGCCAAGATCTGCATCTAGTTAGCCAAGATCTGCATCTAGCTAGCCAAGATCTGCATCTAGTTAGCTAAGATCTGCATCTAGGTAGCCAAGATCTGCATCTAGCTAGCCAAGATCTGCATCTAGCTAGCCAAGATCTACATCTAGCTAGCCAAGATCTGCATCTAGCCAGCCAAGATCTGCATCTAGCTAGCCAAGATCTGCATCTAGCTAGCCAAGATCTGTATCTACCTAGTCCAGATCTGCATCTAGCTAGCCAAGATCTGCATCTAGCCAGCCAAGATCTGCCCCCCTAGCCAGCCAAGATCTGCATCTACCTAGTCAAGATCTGCATCTAGCTAGCCAAGATCTACATCTAGCTAGCCAAGATCTGCCCCCCTAGCCAGCCAAGATCTGCATCTAGTTAGCCAAGATCTGCATCTAGCTAGTCAAGATCTGCATCTAGCTAGCCAAGATCTGCATCTACCTAGTCAAGATCTGCATCTAGCTAGCCAAGATCTGCATCTAGCCAGCCAAGATCTGCATCTAGCTAGCCAAGATCAGCATCTACCTAGTCAAGATCTGCATCTAGCTAGCCAAGATCTGCATCTAGCCAGCCAAGATCTACATCTAGCTAGCCAAGATCTGCATCTAGGTAGCCAAGATCTGCATCTAGCTAGCCAAGATCTGCTTCTAGCTAGTCAAGATCAGCATCCTAGCTAGCCAAGATCTGCATCTAGCTAGTCAAGATCTGCATCTAGGTAGCCAAGATCTGCATCTAGCCAGCCAAGATCTGCATCTAGCTAGCCAAGATCTGCATCTAGCTAGCCAAGATCTGCATCTAGCTAGCCAAGATCTGCCCCCCTAGCCAGCCAAGATCTGCCCTAGCTAGATATAGATAGTTCCTAACTATTGAACTTTAGGGTCGGAAGCGACTATATTTTTAATTAAATAAAGGTTAAAGTGTTGGACAGGGACCGGCTACGGTGGTCTTGAAGCACACATTCCTTGAAGATAATCTATACATAAATCCCTGGTGAGCTGCTTTCAAACTCTGCTCCATTGTGTGCAGGTGGTGTACGGAGCCCCGGGTTCAGTTCCGGCCATACGCTCTATAAACCTCCAGCCGTGTTCAACTTAACATGAGTTGAGTATTTAGTATGATATTGACTCACAATAGTCTGTCTGTCTCGCTCTGAGAAACTGTGTTAGTAATACATGATTTTTAATACACAATACACAATAAATTGTGTGAGTAATACACAATTTACTCAGTAGGTGTCCTGAGTAACCCAACAATATATTGAGTTACCTTGTGAGTAAACCAACAGTGGTGATGAATTTAGGAGTAAAACTCACTGTGGAGGTGAGTAATCTTACGAGTAACTCCCCAGGACGTGAATAATCCTATGAGTAAAAATCTTGCGAGTAACTCCCCAGGACCTGAGTAATCCTATGAGTAAAAATCTTGCGAGTAACTTCCCAGGACCTGAGTAATCCTATGAGTAAAAATCTTGCGAGTAACTTCCCAGGACCTGAGTAATCCTATGAGTAAAAATCTTGCGAGTAACTCCCCAGGACCTGAGTAATCCTATGAGTAAAAATCTTGCGAGTAACTCCCCAGGACCTGAGTAATCCTATGAGTAAAAATCTTGCGAGTAACTCCCCAGGACCTGAGTAATCCTATGAGTAAAAATCTTGCGAGTAACTTCCCAGGACCTGAGTAATCCTATGAGTAAAAATCTTGCGAGTAACTCCCCAGGACCTGAGTAATCCTATGAGTAAAATCTTGCGAGTAACTCCCCAGGACCTGAGTAATCCTATGAGTAAAAATCTTGCGAGTAACTCCCCAGGACCTGAGTAATCCTATGAGTAAAAATCTTGCGAGTAACTCCCCAGGACCTGAGTAATCCTATGAGTAAAAATCTTGCGAGTAACTCCCCAGGACCTGAGTAATCCTATGAGTAAAAATCTTGCGAGTAACTCCCCAGGACCTGAGTAATCCTATGAGTAAAAATCTTGCGAGTAACTTCCCAGGACCTGAGTAATCCTCTGAGTAAAACCGCAGTGGCGGTGAATACAGGATTAACCCCCGCAGTGCGCTGTCTCACCTGGTAATCACCGTAATGCAGGTGCACTTAAGTGCTACCGCTGCACCCGAACATGAGGGATTATCGCCCTTAAGTCCTTCCTGGGGTCGCTGGGCTCGTAACCGCTCAATTATCTCGGGCACTTACGCCCCTCTTGCTCTCCACTCGTCTCCCTGTATACATTGTGTATTTAGATGAAAATGCATTATTGTATTTTTAACGTAATGTTGTATTTAAATGTTGTTTTTTTGGTGTATAATGTTTGTGATGAATAGGATGTGGTGGTGGCAGTGAGTAATTTGTATTTTGTGAGTAATTTGTGAGTAATACAGAAATATTATGAGTACATAATGAGTACATGGATTATAATTATTATGAGGAGTACAGGAAGTACAATGAATTTAGAGATAAATAATTATTTAATGAGTATAATAAGGTTAGGGATTATAATGAATAGTTTGATAGAGTATAATGATTATATCAGGTCTATAATGGGCTTTGGGAGCATAGTGAGAGATGAGAGTTCATTCAGAAAAGGGAGGAGATGGTGTATAATGACTCCAGAGTCACATGATTTTTGTGAATATAATGAGTAGAGAAATTATATCCAGTACAATGAATATCAAGCATACAATGACTATAATAAGTTGAAAGTATAATGAATTCAAATACATAAAGAGTCCAGAAAGTATAATGAGTATAATAAATATTGCATATAATGATCTCAGGGTTTATAATGAATTCAGGAAAACTTCTCGATGGGGGGGGGGGGATATAAAGGGTCTCGTAGCACAGTTGGCTTCGTTCTCGAGTTACAAGCGGGGATCCTAGGTTCGATTCCCTAGCAGGACAGAAAATGGTTGGGCAGGGTTCCTTTCACCTAATGCCTCTGTTCACCTAGCAGTGAGTATAGGTAGCCGGGAGTTAGGCAACTGTTGTGGGGGTTATGACAATATATATATATATATATATATATATATATATATATATATATATATATATATATATATATATATATATATATATACATACATATACATATTGTGTTGTTTTGGGGTTCCTTGGAGAGAGTATACATAAGGAAATACATGGACCGAGTTACAACACAATCAACACGTTGCTAATGCTAGTCACTCATCTTTCACTGACGGAAACGATTGGGCAACATATCAATCAACCGCGCAGTAAACAAAACAAAAAAATGTAAACACGCCTGAAAATGGACTGATGAAAGAATTTAATAGCATTCATTCCAATTTGTTGTGTTGTGATGAGTTGAGTTGAAATTGTCATTGATGAATGACAGGGAAATCAGGTGATGATTTAACTGTATATATGGGAAGCATTTTTTTTTTTTGGGGGGGGGGAGGTTGTTGATATCTGTCTGTCAGTCCCTGACTGTCTCTCTACTTGTTGATTCTGTCTCTCTCTCTGTCTATCACTCTGGATATTTTGATGGATAACGAATCAAATAAAAATTCATTGAGTATTGAGCTGTTAGATAACAATTTGTATAGAGCTTCTTGTAGCCTAATACACCATACCTCAGAGCCCATACACCATACCTCAGAGCCCATACACCATACCTCAGAGCCCATACACCATACCTCAGAGCCCATACACCATACCTCAGAGCCCATACACCATACCTCAGACCCCATACACCATACCTCAGAGCCCATACACCATACCTCAGAGCCCATACACCATACCTCAGAGCCCATACACCATACCTCAGAGCCCATACACCATACCTCAGAGCCCATACACCATACCTCAGAGCCCCATACACCATACCTCAGAGCCCATACACCATACCTCAGAGCCCATACACCATACCTCAGAGCCCATACACCATACCTCAGAGCCCATACACCATACCTCAGAGCCCATACACCATACCTCAGAGCCCATACACCATACCTCAGAGCCCATACACCATACCTCAGAGCCCATACACCATACCTCAGAGCCCATACACCATACCTCAGAGCCCATACACCATACCTCAGAGCCCATACACCATACCTCAGAGCCCATACACCATACCTCAGAGCCCATACACCATACCTCAGAGCCCATACACCATACCTCAGAGCCCATACACCATACCTCAGAGCCCATACACCATACCTCAGAGCCCATACACCATACCTCAGAGCCCATACACCATACCTCAGAGCCCATACACCATACCTCAGAGCCCATACACCATACCTCAGAGCCCCATACACCATACCTCAGAGCCCCATACACCATACCTCAGAGCCCCATACACCATACCTCAGAGCCCATACACCATACCTCAGAGCCCATACACCATACTTCAGAGCCCATACACCATACCTCAGAGCCCATACACCATACCTCAGAGCCCCATACATCATACCTCAGAGCCCATACACCATACCTCAGAGCCCATACACCCATACCTCAGAGCCCATACACCATACCTCAGAGCCCATACATCATACCTCAGAGCCCGTACACCATACCTCAGAGCCCATACACCATACCTCAGAGCCCATACACCATACCTCAGAGCCCATACATCATACCTCAGAGCCCATACACCATACCTCAGAGCCCATACACCATACCTCAGAGCCCATACACCATACCTCAGAGCCCCATACACCATACCTCACACCCCATACACCATACCTCAGAGCCCATACACCATACCTCAGAGCCCATACACCATACCTCAGATCCCATACACCATACCTCAGAGCCCATACACCATACCTCAGAGCCCATACACCATACCTCAGAGCCCCATACACCATACCTCAGAGCCCCATACACCATACCTCACACCCCATACACCATACCTCAGAGCCCATACACCATACCTCAGAGCCCATACACCATACCTCAGAGCCCATACACCATACCTCAGAGCCCATACACCATACCTCAGAGCCCATACACCATACCTCAGAGCCCCATACACCATACCTCAGAGCCCATACACCATACTTCAGAGCCCATACACCATACCTCAGAGCCCCATACACCATACCTCAGAGCCCCATACACCATACCTCAGAGCCCATACACCATACCTCAGAGCCCCATACACCATACCTCAGATCCCATACACCATACCTCAGAGCCCCATACACCATACCTCAGAGCCCCATACACCATACCTCAGAGCCCATACACCATACCTCAGAGCCCCATACACCATACCTCAGAGCCCATACACCATACCTCAGAGCCCCATACACCATACCTCAGAGCCCATACACCATACCTCAGAGCCCCATACACCATACCTCAGATCCCATACACCATACCTCAGAGCCCCATACACCATACCTCACACCCCATACACCATACCTCAGAGCCCATACACCATACCTCAGAGCCCATACACCATACCTCAGAGCCCCATACACCATACCTCAGATCCCATACACCATACCTCAGATCCCATACACCATACCTCACACCCCATACACCATACCTCAGAGCCCATACACCATACCTCAGAGCCCATACACCATACCTCAGAGCCCATACACCATACCTCAGAGCCCATACACCATACCTCAGAGCCCATACACCATACCTCAGAGCCCATACACCATACCTCAGAGCCCATACACCATACCTCAGAGCCCATACATCATACCTCACACCCCATACATCATACCTCAGAGCCCATACACCATACCTCAGAGCCCATACATCATACCTCAGAGCCCATACACCATACCTCAGAGCCCCATACACCATACCTCAGAGCCCCATACACCATACCTCAGAGCCCATACACCATACCTCAGACCCCATACACCATACCTCAGACCCCATACACCATACCTCAGACCCCATACACCATACCTCAGACCCCATACACCATACCTCAGACCCCATACACCATACCTCAGACCCCATACACCATACCTCAGACCCCATACACCATACCTCAGACACCATACACCATACCTCACACCCCATACACCATACCTCACACCCCATACACCATACCTCACACCCCATACACCATACCTCAGACCCCATACACCATACCTCAGACCCCATACACCATACCTCAGACCCCATACACCATACCTCAGACCCCATACACCATACCTCAGACCCCATACACCATACCTCAGAGCCCATACACCATACACCATACCTCACCCCTCCCTCCCTCCCCACCAGAGCAGCTCTTGAGTTGTATCTTCCTGTCAGAACCAGAGACCCGGGTGCTAGGTGGGCCTGATCTCTACATCAACTTTGGTTCAACTATCAATCTCACCTGCATCGTCAATCACAGCCCGGAGCCTCCGCCCTACATCTTCTGGTACCACGAGAATGAGGTGAGTGTGTGTGGGGGTAGGTGTGTGTTGGGGTAGATGTGTGTGGGCAGGTGTGGGGGAGGTGTGTGTTGGGGTAGGTGTGTGTGGGCTGGTGTGGGGTAGGTGTGTGTTGGGGTAGATGTGTGTGGGCAGGTGTGGGGGAGGTGTGTGTGGTGGTGTTGGGAGGTAACTACGGAGATGTTATTGGAAGTGAGAGAGAGAGAGAGAGAGAGAGAGAGAGAGAGAGAGAGAGAGAGAGAGAGAGAGAGAGAGAGAGAGAGAGAGAGAGAGAGAGAGAGAGAGAGGAGAGAGAGAGAGAGAGAGAGAGAGAGAGAGAGAGAGAGAGAGAGAGAGAGAGAGACGAGAGAGAGAGAGAGACAGAGAGAGAGAGAGAGAGAGAGAGAGAGAGAGAGAGAGAGAGAGAGAGAGAGAGAGAGAGAGAGAGAGAGAGA